GCAATGTTGAGAAGTATGTGCAACCTGACAGAATGTTTACTTGAAATTCCAGCAAGAGCTGTTCAAGATTCTACACAGTATTCTACTGAATGGTGAAACTCGAGAAGCAGCTCTCAATTACATGGCAGCTATTGTCAATGCCAACATGAAAAAGGCACAAATGCAGGTAAATAAAAGGAACACTCCTCCTGTAATTCAGGGACCTAGTCAATGCACAAATAGCACTAGATGGCTCATGCAGTGGTGGCTCTTGAATGGAGGACGAAAGAATTTTGAATGCCTGCTACCACAAGAAGCCCTGTCATCAGTCTTTATCTCTTTCAATACATTTCCTATTTCCGAAATTACTCTGGTTTACCTATTTGATCAGTTTGTTGTTTCCTCTCCTAGGACTCTCATGTCACTTCATTAACAGGGATTCTAGATTAGATTTTAAAGCTCTGTACTGCCCCCCCCTCCCCCCTAGTCTGTGGGGGCTTTGTTCATTACAATTGGCTATGTTTAAAAAACTTATTTTCCAGCTGGTAAGTTGCTAGGCTTTGTATGGTTTCTGTAAAATGAGTAATGCAGATATGAACTGGCATGGTTCCAGTGAAACAACAGGGATGTTATTTTGCCATTGTTTAATTAATGCATTGCACTCATTTCCTGTGATAAAATCTGTGCATGAATCCTGAACAACTGAAGTTTGCATCATTGTTGTCTTCAAGTCCCCTTTTCAAAAGCAAACACTTGGAACCATTACTAGGAATATTTCTGTGAAATTCCAGTGAAGAAGTAGTAGAAACTTTACACTTAAGGTAAAACTTATGAATTGAAGCTCAGCAACTATTTGAAACTCTTCTGTTGCTGTTTATATCTGTGGAAAACTGTTCATGAAAGAGGCTCTTTTAAGCCCTTTTAATTTCTTAGGTCATCTTCTACTTCTTCTTATATGCTTGTTTAATGTTCTTGAGAATGACTACTTGAACCATAGAGAATGATAATATATAAGTTAGTAAGTGACCTTCCCGCTGTCACAAAGGTCTCCTTACAGAGCCACGTTCTTTATAATTTCTCCCTTTTCTTGAACTTGCATAATTCATTTATGTTGAATACTGTTAAAGCAGCAGAAAATACCCTTGTACTTCTAAGCTTATGTCTTCAACTATTTACTTTGTTACCCCACAGACAGATGATCGTTTGGTATCTACAGATGGCTTTATGCTCAACTTCTTATGGGTACTACAGCAACTAAGTACGAAGATAAAGCTGGAAACGGTTGATCCCATGTACATATTTCATCCCAGGTGTCGTATTGACCTCCCAACAGATGAGACAAGAGTGAAAGCAACAATGGAGGATGTTACAGCCTGGATTGCTGAACTTTGTGAGTACTCTTATCGAGATACGTTAAGCATTTACGCTGCCTTCTGTTTTTGATACTGGAGGTACATGGAAGTACTTGATAAATAGCAAGTTCCTAAATGCTTTTTCTTGATGCTGTCTGCTCTTACTTGTTTTAAAGAAAGTTGAGTTCAAGGTCTCACGCCTAGATAAGGCAGTTCGTTTTTTAATTTATTCACCTATACTGCTTTTTTGTTTGTTTTCTAGACAGGGATCCGTCCCCATTTTCTGAGCCGAAATTCCCAACAGAATGTTTCTTCCTAACCCTGCATGCCCATCATCTCTCAATCCTGCCAAGCTGCCGTCGGTACATACGTAGACTGCGGGCCATCAGGGAACTCAACAGGTTAGAAGTTGTTAATTATCTAGTGTGTCTGAGAGTCCTAGCATCCTAGCGATGTCGTCTTCTCACTATGATGGCAAGTCCTATAAACTTAATGGAAATTAGAATGACAATTTGGGTTAAACTGTTGCTAAGTACAGATCATCTTAACTATTTATTAATCTGCTATTTTTGGCCCTTACGGATTTTTGCTTATGTTCAGGGACTGTGGCTTGAATCACGAATTCAAATAATAGTGGGATGGAGGATATTAGTTACACAAGGCAGCTCAAATTGGTGAGAGGACCATTCTATTTAAAAGATTTTAAATATTGAATTATCTTCAGAGCATTTTAGGATTCATGACATTACTTAACACTGTTTATTATAACTTAATCTGTGGTGTGGTTGATGGTATGCGGACATCAGTGCCTCAGGCTCTTTGACATAGCTGTAGGAGTGCATATAAAGTTACATGTCTGATAATTGTAGATGACTTGTGATTTCAGAAACAAGACATTGTTAGTTGTGCCTGAGCTGGTTTGTATGTCCCAGAAGGTATTTACCTTTTGCCCCTTGGCTTCTGAGGTGGGATAACTTGTTCTACTCTTGGGGTCGGGGCGGGGGAGGAAGCCTTTATCAGTAAACTCTTAATATTGTTGACATGCGTGTAATTCAGCATTTTGGTTTACCATTTTAAAAATTACAAATAAAAGTTATGATGTTGACATGAAGATACTGCTATTTTCTATTTCTCTTGGCATAAATTCAAATAGACTTTTATAGTTGCTAAACCTCGAAGAATACTCTGTTAAAATTAGAACAGATTTTTGTATCATCAGTATTTTCCATTGTTTATAATTGCATTCACTGCATTTTGGTAAATGTTCCTTGGCAGTAATACCATGAGTTCATTACAGGATTTTTGGGCTGCATTCGTAGTGATTTCATTTTTCGTTTTTAAAGCACATGCAGGCCAAGAACCGGGGAAGCTGCAGAGAATGGAGCAGGAAGACTCAGTATATCTTAAAGAAAAAAGTATTTTCATATAAAACAGCCTGTGGATTACTTGTCAATAAGCCATGCATTTGGCTTGAAAAAGGAATTGCTTCTTTTTCCTTATTTAGAATTGTTGCGAAGGAGTTGCTTATGCAGCAATCTCCATCTAATGGTGCAGAGTGAAGAGCTCTTGGCTTTTACTGACATCAGTAGGAGCTTAGTGTTCAGCATTTTCCATGAATTGCTTAGTTGCTTGCAACACTGGGCAATGTAATTAGATGTTGGTAATAAAGAAATTAGACTGGATATTTTTCTGCTGTAGGCAGAGATTGATGTGGAAAAGAATTTGTGTTTAGAGGAGGGATGAAAAGGGACTGTATTCATATAGTTCAGTATATTGAGTTTTGTTCTAATCAGCTGCCCTTCCAAAAAAGGATTAAGGTATGGGAATATGTAGGATTTTTTTAATGTAAATGGTGTGTGTAATATACATTTAAATTCTGTCTTCTGTGGGGTAGAGAGAGAGAGTGGGTAAGGGAGGGGAGGTAATATCAACCACCTTGACTTACTGGTCCTTACGCTGACAGGGAGACTATAGACTATTCATGTGTTGTACTCCTCTGCAAACCTGAATTTTACGGGGAGTGGAGCATGAGAAGGGTAGAACAAAACTGCAAAAAAATCATTTACAATGGTGGAAAGTGGGAAGATACACAGGATGCAGACTTGTGCCTTTCTTGGGAGGGGGAAGGTGTTCATAACAAGTCCTGTTGTCAGCCACCTTTTTCTTCCTTAACTGATTCTGTTTTCTATTTTCCTTTCTGATATTAAAAGATGAATGACATCTCTAAATATCTTGTTCTTAACTGGACCAGCCCTTCTTTGTGTTAGGGTTAATTTTAATGACATCCTTTTAACCTTCCTTTAGACTGACTGCAGACTTCAGTGTGAAAAAAGGCAAATTTTTTTTTTTTTTTAATACAGTGAAAAAATTAGTTTGTCAGGCAGGATAGATCCCTTCTGTGTTTCAACTTTTTCTTTCTTTTTTACTGTTCTGATTTGTCTGACAGGCATGTATGTTGGAGCTAGTGTATGTAGTGCCTTTGAATGCACGCTGTGCAGATGTTCAGTCTACATTTACAAAAGCAATTTATTTTTCTTGTTATGATGATGGGTAAATTCTGTGAAAATGATTAGCTTTCTTCCCCACTTTTCTTCACAATATTTCCTTGGTATTTAGCTGATAAGTAGGTTAAATGCCTTCTAGATGGCAGTACGTATCCCCTCTGTCATGATAACCAATTATTGCATATGGTTTTCAGGACTGTTGAAGATTTGAAAAACAATGAAAGTCAGTGGAAGGATTCTCCTCTGGCTACCAGGCATCGAGAAATGCTGAAACGTTGCAAGACACAGCTTAAGGTTTGTAAGTGATTCAGTTCTCAACTAAATGCCTTTGTCAACCTGTCTGTATGTTTACTTTGTGTCCTACTGTTTAAATGCGACTTCCCACTGATGCTTCTTGAAAATGGTGGTTTTGAATCTATGAACCATGTGAGTACTGCACTAGATGGTAGTCATGATACAATATAACATTAATGGTGAATTTAAAATTCAAAGTAACACCAAGATTAACTTTGGCAGTATTCCTCAGAAAGAAGAAAATACTATTTTTATTGGAGAGAGAACAAGCAAAGGGATTGTGATTTGTTCAGGGGTCATTGTGTGTGCACAATCCCTGCCCAAGAAGGAGATGGAACCTCTCGAGTCCCTAATCTCATGTAGAATTCTTGCAAAGATGAGTATGCTGGGTTCCTGTCTTTTGAAGTTCTGTCCTGCTTAAGTCTTCCTAGTATAAATTGACACAAATTTTCTGAGCCATATCACCAAAATGACTTTAATTGCACATTTTTGCACTTTGATACCTCTGTTATTTCTTTCATTGTTCCTGGAAAGCTTGTAAAAGACTCCTCTGTCCCTGCATTATGTGCGTGTTTTTCTTTATATGTTTGGGGCTTAAGTGCCCCATTTTCTTCAAATAAGAGCATATTTTAAGAAGAGTCTATTGTATAATTGTCATAATTCAGATACATTGATTAGTTTGGATAGGCTTGACCTTCCTTTTATGTTGTCTTGCCCTGGATTAGTTTTTGTATGCATATTCTGCAGAAACTGGTGAGGTGCAAGGCTTGTGCAGATGCTGGTTTGCTGGATGAAAACTTTCTCAGGAGATGTCTGAATTTCTATGGCATGGTGATTCAGCTGATGCTTCGCATTCTTGACCCTGCCTATCCCAAGTGAGTATCAGGATTATCTGTGTAAATTGTATCAAAGATATTTCAGATCATGTTAGACTGTTTACTGAATTTAGCAGTTCTAGAATTTTCTTTTTTTTTTTTCTTCAGTGTCTGCATTCTAACGTGATTGTTACCTTATTTATGTCAGTGATATATATTCTTGCATGGAATATATGTCTTATTTATAGTTTAAGGTTCAGTTGGCAGAGGGGAGCAACCCTTGGGTATGTTTAGTACACTTGAAGTAGTGACATGGATTTTAAAAAGTCAGTGTCAGAATTTTTGTAAAGTGTTTCCATAGGAGAATTCCATAGGAGAGCTTGTGACACTTTCTACTTAACCCTGCTATTATACTGTCCTGTTTGTTGTCTCTTTTATTCTACAGTATAAAATTGCCTTTAACTCCTGAAGTTCCGAAGGTATTTGCAGCATTGCCAGAGTTTTATGTGGAAGATGTTGCTGAATTTTTATTTTTTATTGTACAGTAAGTCAAGTTATAGCTAAAGGAAATTTGTACTACCTTTTACCCCTGTAACAGGTGGCATGCACGTAAATTTAGGGTATGAAAGTAGTTTCCTAGCTATTCTGTAGTTAATGTTCTGTTTTTTAACAACAGTCATAAGATTATGGCATTGTGGCAGATATAATGCCTAGATGAGCTCCAGAGTCCCTTCTAACCTAACTTTTTCTTGGAAGAAAGTTGAAGGTTTTTTGGTTCCCTCCCCCCAAGAATTTTCTTTATAGTTTGGAGTTTGCTGAGTCCTTTTGATCTCATGATATGTTAAATCATCACTAGAATAATATTTTTAAAAAGTCATAGCTTAATAAGTAGAAAATTCCCCCATTTATAAATTTGCTGGGACGAAATGCATTTCTATAGTTTTAGCAGTTTAGATGGGCATGAATACTATTCAGATGGAATCCTGGAGTTCTGAAGCTGGTCACTTTCTTCCTGAAAATGTACCTTCAAATTCAGACTCCGCTGTGTTGTGTGATGAGGAGATGTTTGCTTTTGCCTTCCTGAGGTGCTGTTACAGTGGTACTTCATAGCAGATTTGCTATTATGCGCAACAAAAGAATATGACAGTGTTTCAAGCTAAAATTCAGCTTCCAGTGAACAGCTGGCAGGACCTTTTGGAAGAGTAAGAATCTAGCTTCTGTAAAGGAAGATGGGGAATTATGATAACATGACTAAACTTTTCCTGTTGCTAATGAGTGATCTGAACTTATTTGATGATAAATCTTCTGTAGACAATACAGGGTTGGGGTTTTTCATTTTGTTTTCCTTATCTCCCTCTTTTCAGATATGCTCCTCAGGTGCTTTATGAGCCCTGTACTCAGGACATAGTGATGTTCCTTGTCGTGATGCTGTGCAACCAGAACTACATCCGAAATCCTTATTTAGTAGCCAAGCTGGTGGAAGTGATGTTCATGACAAATCCAGCTGTTCAGCCCCGGACACAAAAGTTCTTTGAAATGATTGAGAATCATCCTCTCTCCACTAAATTGTTAGTCCCCTCCTTGATGAAGTTTTACACAGGTGCGTGCTCTGTCTATAGTTCACTGAGTGTACAGTAAGCAATGAGTATTATAAGGCAAAAGGCTGTGTTAGTTGAAACCTTTTAAAAAACAAAACAAAACAAAAACCCACAAAACCAAACAGGTAGATCTTGGGTCTTGTAAAGATGAGGCTTTGTTGCTCAGGAATCAGGAGAAACAGCATTAGATGGAACCTTAAGAATTCTAGTCCTTCTACAAGCTGCTGTGCACTGACAACTCTAGCACTGTATATTAATTTGACGATTGTTGTTGTGGTGTTTAGATTCCAAACTGGAAGTTTTTTGTTTGTTTTGTAAGGGAGTATTGGGATTTTAAAACTTCTGACTGTGGTTTTGCTAGTCGTGTAGATTCAATGTGTCAAAAGGGCTTTGCACCCATAGAAACAACTATTTTTGCAGCGTTCCCAGAGTGTTTTCTTATTACTGAGATTTTCGACTGTGGGATGAAGAGCAGAGTGGAGTTGAATAGAACAGAAAGTTTTGTTTTCTGAGGGTTTTTCTCCAGAAATGAGGTTGGTTCTGGATTAGAAAATGGACAGTGCTACTTCTTTTAATGGGGCTTAAGATGGAGACTTCTGAATGGGAATTGAATTTCATCTCTTGAAGCTTGGTGCTTGAAGTTCATCACATTGGAGACAGTAGGGGAGAGATGTACTGTGTCGCAGGTGAATCCTGGTTGGAAGGAGTTTTGACTTCAGTTCTGGGATCTGTTTTCTTTTTCAGATGTTGAACATACTGGAGCCACTAGCGAATTCTATGACAAGTTTACGATCCGCTACCACATCAGCACCATTTTCAAAAGCCTCTGGCAGAATATAGCTCACCATGGTACATTTATGGAAGAGTTCAAGTGAGTAAGAAATTGTGTATAATGCTGCTTACTGTCGTGCAAGCTGCTCAGGCAATGACCTGAGGAGGCCATTACCATTGCAAATGGGTGATGCTGCTTTCCATTGTATTTTAAATGGCAGCCCCTTCCAGTAGAACTGGAGTGTTTCTAAACTGAGCTCTGGACACCACAATCAACTTGGCTTGGGGAATGGGATCATTATTCGAAATATACAGTGCAGAAGGAGTGTTGCTGGGGTTGCAGTCTGGTCTGCACACCCATCTACTCTGCCGTGATAACTGTGTTTCAATGTTTTCAGCTCTGGGAAGCAGTTTGTTCGCTACATCAACATGCTGATAAATGACACAACTTTCTTGCTGGATGAGAGTCTGGAGTCCCTAAAACGTATCCATGAAGTGCAAGAGGAGATGAAGAATAAAGAACAATGGGACCTGCTGCCCAGGGTGAACAGAGCTGTTTTTCAAAGTGCCCTTTAATTATTTTTAATTTTTTAATACAAGACCATTAAAAAAACTTTTTAATAAGGGGCAGCACCAAAGAGCTGCTCATGAGAAGCAGTTCTCGGTGCTTTTTCTTGCTGCCAGTATGGCCGTGGTCACTCTGGATGACATTCTGCAAAAAACATCATTCTGCGTAGTTATACTGTGGCTGGCAAAGAGTGTGGTGTGAAGTGGAAATAGTATAAAGTTTTAAATTACTGTGCACGTAATTCTAAGTGGAGAAACTGAGACTTTAACCTTCTTGAAGGAGGTTTTGGAAGATGCTCGCCAGTTGAATTGACTTCGAGAAATAGAAGCTTTTATTTTGTTAATGCATTGATCCTGGGTAGATTCGATGCAGACAATTAGAGTCCTATACCTCAGACCTTAGCCTGATTAAACAATAATTGTATGTGTTGACCCACCAATGTCAGGTATTTCTATTTTAAGGTTATTGATTTAAAAAAAAAAAAAAAAAGTTTGAAAAGAAAAGCTATAAAGGTCTTGTTTATTAAACTCTTCTGGTTTGCTCTTCTGAAGCCTTTTCCTGTTTATGCCTACTAGCAAGGTAAAGCCATTACTGTAGTGAGAAAATGAGCTGGTACATCATCTACAGATTGTTCCAGTGTGAAGTGTTTATTACTCATGATGGTGCATAAATTAGAGAGAACCTCACGTGACTTTCAGATCCCAAGCTGGTTTTGAAGTATTGGCATTTGGATGGAAAGGAAGCGTAACCCAGTTCTGCAGCTGTGAGGAGCAGTTACAGGATGTATATAGACTCAATAACCGTGGAGTCTTGTGATACCATTTGCATTCATTTTTCAGTGTTGCAGAATTTTGGAAAATTGGTGCAGGCTTTAGTATTGGGTAGTAAAAGTGAGCTGTACCTTAAATTAAAAAATGTATCCCATCTGGATTTGAACTGCAGTCTGTTCTTTTGTCTGTCGAGATCATGCTAGCATTATGGCCGTTGGTTTTGGTGGGTGATGATGTAGGAAATTCTGTGGACTTGTAACCACTGAATGTTTATGTTCTAGGATCAGCAACAGGCTCGGCAATCGCAGCTAGCTCAGGATGAGCGCGTGTCTCGTTCATATCTTGCCCTGGCAACAGAAACTGTTGATATGTTCCATATCCTTACCAAGCAGGTTCAAAAGCCTTTTCTCAGACCTGTAAGTCCTGCTCAGATTTAACTTGTTTTTTAGCTGCTTTAACATCTCTACTGTTGGCTAATAACCTTGGAAATGTTTGGTAGCGCTTTGTCTCCATTCTCCTCCTCATTGAAATCTAATTGCTGTTGAAGTTATTTGATGTTAAGAGCATTACCTGAGTCACTGAGATGGTGTGATCCTTCTAGACAGAAGCTGTTTGCATTATTTTTTTTTAATGGAAAGCATGCATAAAGAAAAGACACTTCCTGCAAGCCTACAAAACGATAACTTTATTAGTTAATAATTCCTGATCTTGCTGTATGCAAATCTAGTGATAATCTTCTTTATCACTGCCTTCATGCTGTGATCTGTGTTTTACTTTGGTCTTGTAGGAACTTGGACCGCGATTGGCTGCTATGTTGAACTTTAACTTACAGCAACTGTGTGGCCCCAAGTGCCGTGACCTGAAAGTCGAAAACCCTGAGAAATACGGGTTTGAACCAAAGAAGCTGTTGGACCAACTGACTGACATTTATCTACAGCTAGATTGTGCTCGCTTTGCTAAAGCAATTGCTGATGATCAGGTGAGCTCCAAAAAGATGAGAGGGGGAAGGGCAAAAGCACTGTGGACAAACAGGACTTTGCAGAACACTCTAGAAGAGTTTCATCTCACTTGTATGCTGCCGCCCAGTTTCCGTCATACATGCTTGCAATTTGTTTTCTTTCAGCAGATCATCTCTGTTCATATTCTGTCTGCTCTTTGTAGATGGGTATGTTTTCAAAGTATTTTGCAAACCTGTAGACACTCATAAACATCTAGAGCACTTCACACACACACAGGAAATTTCCTGAGCATTAGTTGCTTATTAGGTACAGCCTCACTGTAAATTAGCAGAAGTACTTTTTGCAAGTGCGAAAACTGAAGCATACAAAGAGTTTTGACTCCCCCTTCCTCATCAAGAACACATGAAAGAGGCAGAGCTGGGACTGAGAATAAGAGCCTCATTTAACAATCCAAAGTTCATTCTCTAGACTAACAGTTTCCAAATTGTATTCCATTTTATATCACTTTATGAAAAGGCTGTGTAATAAACTGACAAAACACAATATACATGAGACACCTCTGAACTCCTCATGGTAGTCTTCAGAGCAGAATCTTAATTCTTAAGGTAGATAAGCTATCGCTCACCTCTGTGTTCTTGTAACATTGTGAAACTACTGAATCACGTCTCTCCGTGCCTGTGTCTTATAATACAAACTTTTCAAAATCTAGAGGGGAAAAAAACGTTCTCAGTGGCTACTTGAAATTCCAGTGGAAGCTGGTTTACAATACATGAAGCTGTATTTGCATGTGTGGTGAAGCAGAGGTATTAGAGTAACTCGTGATCTTTTTTCTGTAATTATTTAAGTTCTGATAATTGCAGATAATATCAGTAATGCTTCTGAAACAGACCTTATGTGTTTGCATGTGTATAATGAGCATGCAGTATATTTTTATGCTCTTCAGTATATATGAAAGTGGGAATGTTATCCATCATTCATTCATCCAAGCTAGCCACAGCAAAATGCACAGCAATGACATAGGGATTAAAAAGAAAGAAGCCTGCTGCTGTGGGAACTGGAATAAAGCTTAATTAACAAAGTAGCCCTTCATAAAAAGAAGGGGGAGTGACTAGTATCTTGGAAACTGTCAATGACAGGAAAGAAACACCAAGGAAATGCACAGTTGGTTAATGGCTACTGGTATTAAGAGGAAAAAAAAAACAAAACAAGACAAACAAAAAGTTGCTTGATCATGGCAGGGTCTCTCTAAAGCATTTTGATACATCTCCTGTTTGCAAATCCTAGCACGTATGAGAAGGAATCTGGAAACGTTTATAAAGCCCTGGGCATATTGCCATAGTTCTGTTCTCCTCTGTAGATAGAAAGGAGTTTGGGTGGGCACTGCGTGTCCTAAGTAGTGAATGGTATTTCTTGGTGCGATACAGTGTAGATGAAAGAAGTAGGGCTGTGTTGAACATTTTAAAATCCCCTAGGAAAATAGAAATCTGTGAGACTTAGCGTGTTTTGTTTTGTCATTTAATTCAGCCTTGCACTGCAGTGTAAATAACATTTTTTATTAAAAGGCTTATATCAAAACATGGCATTGTGAACTTAAAAGAAAATGGTGTCTTTAGAACATAAGCAGCTTTCAAAAGTCCTTGCTTAACTTTCTTTTCTTACGTGAAAGCAAAACTTGCTTCAGTTGAAACTATAGGATATGCATTTGGTCTCTCTGAACGTTGTACTATGTAGCTGTACAGTTCTTACTGCACCAGTTGGCAAGCTTCCTGCAAGTATTAGCTCCCTCTGAGTTGCCTTACTATTTTTGCAACATCATGGGGTGGGTTTTTTGTTTGTTTTTGTTTGGATTAGGAGAAAGAATCACTTCTTTCCCAGTATTGCCTTGCACATTATCAGAGAAGTTAAGAAATCAAAAAAACTTTTCATTTTATGTTGTATTTTCAGCCAAGACTTGTGAGAACAAGAATACAGACAGGGGTGGCAAGACAGATATTTTGTCTAAGGAACAATCTTAATAATTATAGTCAGCCTCTCCGAGTGTCTTACTCGCTTTGATGAGGGGATGTTGCCTTTTTTTTTGCCCCCCTTGGTCCTGAACAGTTCTACAGTAGAGATGACCAGTAAAAAAGCATGTCTACCCCAAAGTTGACATTTTGGTGCTATATGAAATGTTATCTGCATACTACTTTTCTGTCTGACGTAATGTTGAGGTTTCATTGATCCCTCCTTCTGAAGTTTTAAAAATGCATTAAAAGATCTTTAGAATTTTTATGGCATGTTAGAATACTACAACTCAGCAAAGCTGTCTTTTTATGCTTTGCTTGTAGAGGTCCTACAGTAAAGAGCTCTTTGAGGAGGTTATCTCCAAGATGAGAAAGGCTGGCATCAAGTCAACCATAGCAATAGAGAAATTCAAACTGCTGGCAGAGAAAGTGGAGGAAATTGTTGCCAAGAATGCCCGTGCAGAAATTGATTACAGTGATGCTCCGGATGAATTCAGAGGCAAGTTGAGTTTTCTAAATACTGACTTTTTAGGAGAAGAGGGATTTGTTTTGTTACTTTGATTAATATTAATAGAAACTATGTATTGTTTATGAAGGCTTGCATCCTGCTCTATTTCAATTAAACAGTTAAGTAAATATAGAGAGCTAGGAGTTTCTTAATTTGTTTTTCCCTGGGATTGTACTGTCCAGTCCTATCCATGTCTTGCTTACATGTACTTTAAAACAGTAAGAAAAAAACAAAATCTGAAAATAGCTAATGGTTAGTCCCAATTCAGAAAGGGAAAAGCAATATAAAGGCTAGAGTCCACTGCTCATTTTAACCGTTAACTTCAGCAGTATACTTGATTGGGGACCCCGAATATCTCAGTTCCGCACTGTGGTTTTGTGTGCAGATAAAATTTGTAGCTATTGTCTTCAATTTAATGATGAGATACTTGTGCTCTCAGATCCACTTATGGACACTCTGATGACTGATCCTGTGAGGCTGCCCTCTGGAACCATTATGGACAGGTCAATCATCCTCAGGCATCTGTTGAACTCTTCCACTGATCCTTTCAATCGTCAGACGCTGACAGAAAATATGCTGGAACCAGGTATCGGTTTAACAGTAATGGAACTGTTGACTGGGGAAGCAATTTGTGTGCAGTTTGTTCTGTATGCTTTCAGAAGATAGTGTTGAGGCCTCAGTTAACGGTTCTTTCAACTTGCACAGAAAAGTTCATTTCTTCTGTTTTCCCTTTTTCTGGGAAAACACCCCACACCCTTGCCTTCATAACTACGGGGCTAAAAGATATTGTTATGGTAGGTAAATGCATAATTCAGTTACTCAAAGCTGCGCAGAAAATATGTTGATAGAGAAGAAAATAGTAGTAAATATTCCTATCAGGTTTCTAGAAAAGAAATTGCTCTTGGTTATGAGGAGCTTTCTTATGGTAGTATTACTAAATAGTTTTAACTGCTAAGTTAATCATTCTTTTTTCTCTTCTTTACACTACTAGTGCCAGAACTTAAAGAGCAAATCCAAGCCTGGATGAGAGACAAGCAGAATGCTGACCATTAAAAATTCCCTTGCAGTGCACGCCAACACCACTGGGAAGAACAGGGCGTGGGCTGCTCTGGTAATAGTGGAGCAGATACGCTTTGAAAGCTATTGATGGGATTAGCACACCCACTGGCACTGACTTGCAGTAGTGACCAGACGCATGTGGACGAGGAGAAAAGCGGCTTAATTCTTGTACATATATTTAAGTGATAACGATGGTCAATAACATGGAGGACAAGCTAGGAAGTTGCTTATGTTACAAAACTGTCCTTCAATATGTCACATTTTGGAGTTTTTACAGCTGAATTATTTTAGCAAAGATGAATGGATCAGGGCAGCATCCCTTCAACGTTATTTTTTACAGCCAGATATCCGTTAATTTGATTGTGGTTAAACCTTGGACATTTTGCTGCTAAAGTAACTTTTTCCCTCCCTTCTTCCTCTTCCACCCACCAAACCTGCACTGCTGTCTTTTTTTTTTGTAATGCAAAAAAGAAAAAAATCCCTGTGAAAATCAAAATCATTCCCCTGCCCTCAAAAGAACATATTCTGTGCGATAACTGTGCCTGCAACAAAGTGTTAATCTTGGGATCGTATTTTTATATTACACATATTTGCATATTTGGTTTTTAATTGGTGTTAGACACAAGGATAACTTCAAAAAAGCAAAGATTTCACACATGGATTTTAATTTCCGTTCTTTGAAATGTCCCTTTTCTTTATGTTGATCCAGATGCTCTGGTATTTTTGAAAAGCCTTGAGATAGAAATATGTTAAAACAGCTGCCATGAATGAGATGCTTGGGAATACCAGGATTTCAGTGACTTTTTAAAAAATAAAATTCATTCTTTTAATGCTGCAGATATGATATATGCTAAATGACAGTCCTGAGCCATTAGAGCTTGTCCGCAGAGAGCAGATCCTTTTATTCTTGGAGGCTGCAGTTTGGGGCAGGGGTCATTTTTTATGTTGCGTACCAATTTGTATCCATGGCTTGGCCTTACCAAAGCAGAAAGGGTGCAGGAAATGTAGAATTACATTTTTAAAAAAAAAAATAAAAAAAAAAATATTCACAAACATTTTTGTATTACTGCCCCCTGCATATGATACTTGAATTTCCTTTTTAAAAAGGATTTGAAACCACAGTGTTTTAAAATTAAGTCTGACAAAAGGTTGTTTTTCTTTTATTTGTTTTTCGCTGTGTCTTCTGTTCAATTCCTGACTCTCTTGAACTACAATAAATGATACACACTCGCACAAAATGTTTCTTTTGTCTTTCTTTCAAGTGCAAAGTATTAAAAAGTGGAAGTAAAAGTATTTCAGTGAAAGTATTAAAAAATACGAATGATTGGGTGGCTTTGTTCAGGTTTGCTGATAGTGATTTAGGATCTCGAGATAACTTTAGTAAATTATGTGAAAAATTTCCGTGCACACAGAGATCAGTAATACTTCAAACTAACAAGTGTTCCCAAGTGGGTGACACTTACACCTATTCATAGCTATGTGACAGGCTCCAGGGGGAATTTTGGTTAGGTTATATATAATCCAGTGCCGACCTTTTGAGATGTGCAAGTAATTCTGAATTAAAATGTGAGGATGTAATGTTTTTTTTGTTGGGGTTTTTGGTTGGTATTTCCCCCCCTGCTGTGTGTGTGTGTGTGTTTTCCCCAAGGCTGGGAGAAAGATTCCAAAGTTTGTGTCTGCATGGACTGCTGGAACAGAGAAGCTTGCTTGTTGACTGGTTTTAGTTCCTTAACCTTCACTCCTTCCACAAATTCAAATCGTCCTCTTCTTCCCTCTTCAAAAGTCACAGAACAAAGTCTGCTATGCTTTTATCTGCAAGCTGTCATTCAGCATTCAAATCCATCATGGTTTCTCAACATGTTCTAAGGGTATGCAGTGAGCTGTAACTTTCAAGGTGTGTTTTATTTTTTTAGTAAAAAGGTGATTATTTTCTACATAAAGAAAAACTCTTAAATGTTCCACTGTCACGTCATTATTAAGGATTATAGCATGAAATCTCTAGAAACATCCCAGAATTTATACTTTAATGGACGACAACTGTTCAGCAGTGTATATTTGGTTTTACTGGACTGCTATGGTTTCCTATTAAGGCTTTTTTTCTGTAAGTTAACATCGTATAGCTTTTAGTTTTATTGACAGACAATGTATTGGAAAGATGGAAGAAGTGCTTTCTTCTAATTTTCTTCAGCTATTACAAATTAGACACGCCACCACCTTTTGTGAATATGGATGCTGTGGAAACAATGAGCAGTTTTATAAAATGAGAAGAGCACAAGCAGAAATAAACCATCCTTAAATTAAAAAAAGCTGGTTGCTTAAGTGTATCCTGTACAGGGCTTGACGTCAGCTATTCTCTAATAGTTCTTGATATTTCACATTTGAAGTGTAATAACTAGTATCAAAGAGGGTTGTGAATTTAAATATTTTACCAGAAAATCTGTATGGAACTAGCTCTTTTTAATGCAAGTATAAAATGAAAATCCTACTTTTTTTTTTTATTCCATTGTACCAACTGAAAGGCTTGTTTCAACAAATTGAAGCTGTTTCTCTTAACCTTATCTGACAGGAGGAAATAGAAATATTTACATTTGGTATAGGATGTATTAATCAAGACAATGCCCTTCAGAATCTGAATTTATATTTATTCTGCCATCATATCAGACTTTGACCTGAAGAATACAAATAGCAAAGTGCATTACTGAACTATTTTGTCTAATTATGGGATCTATTTATCACTTGAAAATGTATCAGTGTAGATATTACAGAAGACACGAAGGCTAACATTAAGTGGCTAAAACAATTTTATCTGGAGGAGTAGTATCAAGTATTTCAAAGGTGTGAATTCAGACAAACGCTTTCCCAAATTCAGCATTCATGGGCAGAATAATGAAGTGTATTTTAATACGAGCAACTGAAAGTACCATTATACTGCTGTCTTCGGGGTACAAAAGTGAATCAAACCCCTGTCTTTCAGTGGATAGTGGACATTTGAGTAACTGAAAAGGAAAGCTGAAGTTAGTATTGGATTAAGAATAAATCTCCCACAAAAGCTTATCAGTTGTGTGACAACTCTTAGTTTAATTCCTTTAATACTACCTGCAGTTTTTTGTGAATTCCCCTCCCCCTACTAACATGTCATTTATCTTTTTCAATCCAACTGCAACCTTACTACAATACAGAGACTTTATATTAGAGAACACAAACTATCGATTGATCAAATTACCTTTGATATATATGCAGAATCTGAATAACTTTGAGCTGTGAATTGCTCATCCCAGGAATGGCTAACTTACATAAGTGTTGCAAAATGTGGTTTTCTTGGAAAATTGGAAAGTTATGAGATTGTATTGCTGGTCTTCACTTGCCCTCTAGCTATGTGACTAGAGAAACTACTAGGGCAAGTTCTGATGTTACAGCAATACAATTCAGCACAATTGATTCTATTATATCACAATTTACATTTATGTAATAGCACAATTTACATCTCTGTCAACTATTCCCTGCTGGCAGCAAGGAGAGCCTAATGCTGTTAATAGCAGGATGACAATGCTGCTTTAGCCAGCAACAGATTGACTCTTAACAATCCCCAGGAGCATTGCACTACAATGTAGCTGTCTTCCTTTTCGTCATCGCTTAGCTTAAACCTGCCCTCTTTCCTGTATTGAAACAGGATTCCCAATTTTAGGTAGCATTATCTCAGTGATTTGAGTAACCAACTATATTGGTTTGTACTAATAAACGTAAGAAATTTTTCACAGTACTACTTGCTCTCATTTTTCTGGTATAATAATGCTCAAGAACACTTTCCTTGTGCTGGGGACCTTCATTATGTGAATATTTTCTTGAAAAGGAATGTCTAAATTCTAGTTTTAAACACACACATGCTTGCAGGGAATTGGATCTGTTTCTGCTGTTTTTCAGGGTTGTATGTTGGTCAGAAACATGTAAAATGAGTAAGAATGGTCCCCTTCCTCTAAGGGAATGGACACTAATTTTCTTTTAAACAGGATTCATAGGTAAAACATTGCAGTACAATTCTACTTAAGTACATTTTTTTTTAATAAGTTAATTCTACATTACCGAAGGAGACTTGACTTTGAAAAATGATATTGAGAAGGATAGTCTAATTAAACTGAGATAAAATGCCTAAATTCTATCATTAAAAAGGCATCACAACCAGCTAGATGAGGACTGCCTTAATACTTGACCACCTTTCAACTCCGTGCTTGGATATTTAAAGAGGAATTTTCCTCGTCTCCCTTTGCAGTGAGTGACCTCCCTGATGCCCTATAGCATGTGTCATACGCCCTTTACCGTTTTCTTTCTCAACATGTAACTAGACCTTCTCTGAACATTTCTGGCAGATTTTTCAAGACTCTGTAAGCAAGCAACTGAATTAACATTCTGGACCTATTCTACGCGAGTTCTCAGCAACCTTTGACATGACAGTGATGCAGGAACTACTGTTCCTAGGAGATACTACGCAAACTCTGCTGAAGTAAAATTAATCATGTTGTCTATTACCACGGAGGACTACAGCATGCACCCAGTATTCTGACAGTTTGCAGAGGATTTTTTTGTTTATTTGTTTGTCTTCTTTTTTCAGAGAAATTATAGCTGACCTAATTCTGCAGGGGCCTAGATAAAAGTTAGCACAGTTACACCACACTAAAACACCACTAAATCAATGTCCCATCAATAGGAAGTCTTCCGAAGTTCAAATAATGGTATTTTCTAGGACATATGAAAGCCACCTATTTTTGCTTTGTTGGTTCTGCGGCTTTCCCTACAAACCACTGTTCAGCTATGTATTATTAGGCTATTGCATTCATAGGCATAACTGCCGATGACATGCACACATGATGAGATTGGCAAGGGGGAAAAGTCACTTTTTGCTAAACAAAAAGTAACAAATAACTCATTCTCCCCAAAACCTCAAAGTGATGGGGAACACAAGAGACACAGTGAAGATTAATGTAGTTAACAGCCTGTGAACAAAAATAAACCTCCTTCTGAAAGTAGAAATCTTGGGTCCCAAATGTTCTCAACAGCTTAAATCCAATTCGTATATGATGGTGTGTGTATGGAAAATATGTAATTAAGGTATTCAATGTAATATTTTCTTTAAAATGCTTATAAGCTTAAACACAAGCCTATTTCCAACAGTAGAAATGATCAAAGTACTAATGGAAAGGAGGAACTTTGCAGCTGAAGTTATTGCCACAAAAATAAATTTTCACTAGGAGAATATGCATGAAATCATTGAAAGTACAAGAGCTAATACACCACCGTTGACGAGAACAATTTAATCACGTAAAAATACATGATGAGATTACAAAAAAATTAACTTAG